TAATATATAGCTAATCTGAACTACATATTATGAATAGTTGATGGGTTGTTTAGTAAAACTCATATATCACTAGTAAAATAATTAATTTATATTTCCTTTATTTTGTTCGGAAGTTGGACAATATCATAAAAAATAGGAAATTTTAATATTGAATGCAAAAAGAAAGATGAAAAGGAAGGGTGAAGCCATTAGTTCTTCTAAGTAACCGGAACTGATTTTTAGTATTTGGTCTTAAAATGAGGGAAAAGGCGAAATTGAACTCAAAAATGAAGAGCCAAAATCCCTGAAAAGAAAACAAGGATTAGTATCCATTATACGGCTAAACGAATATATAATATACTTTTGTGTGTGGAAATATTGGCTTTTTTTTTTAAATAAATAGTCACAACGAACACAACGATATGCAATTTATAAGGATGTGGAGGGAGGGGTGTACAAGGTAAGTAGTGTTGCCCAAATGCGAGACCGAGACGAGTCTTGGTCTTGCAAACTTAGTTTTGGTCATGGTCTTGGCCTTACACAAGAGTCTCGCAACAGTCTTGCAGTTACATATTAGCTTATTAATATAGAGATATTACTGTAAATTTTTAGATAGGAGAAACCTAACTAAGCCCAAATGAAAAATTAGAGGAATTGAATGCAAAAGTATATTAGTTATACCAATTATTAACATATAGTAACTACGATTGTCAAGTATTAGGAACTATTTTGAATTATTTGTTATTAAAAAAATCGATTTTTTTTACCAGTCCTGGTCTTAGTCTTGCAACAGTTAAGCGACCTTGGTCTTGGTCTCGCAAAGTGCAAGACCAAGACCTATTTTGGGCAACACTAAAGGTAAGAGTGTCTGGCCCATAGACTACAAGGTTCGCCATGCCTTCATTGTAATTTTTGTTTTAGACATATGATGTGAAAGTTAACGTTCAGCTTTTTAATTTTGACTCTTATCTGGCAGATAGTAATATTTACTAACAAAACACTTTGGTTTACATTTTATCTTATGCACAGAGTGAAAACTCGCCTGCTTTGTATCGAATTTCGAATGTAAGTTTGCTTTGTCTGCCTGCACTGAAATTCGCCATTGAGATGTCGTTAATGGTAGTCAGTATGAATTACGATTCCTTACGAAAAGATTATTTGCAATTCATACTTTAAGTTCTTTATTCATCTTCAATAATAAGCCTGTTAATATTTTTTAGTTTTTAATAGATTAATGTTTTATTGTAGTCTTTCGATGCCTCTTCAGCATCCGATGCCGTTCGGCTTCGCCTTGGTAAGCAGAACGTCATTTACGCCTATTTATAAACTTTACTATAATAACCTTATTGCCAATTGTATGGTTGTTGTGGCGTAAAGATATAAGATAGAAACTATAAAAAAATAAATCAATGATTGAAATCTATTTGAAATTTTATCTACACCTATTAACATCGTAAACTGTCTTAATAATTATTATTGTCATAAATGAGCAATATATTACATGCATAAAAACAATTATGTGTAACTAACAAGTATTAAGAACAATCAATTTATTAATTCATTTACATGGGATTTATTAATACTTATTCGCTAATGTCTTTGCTAGAATTTAAAATTTCGTCAACTGATATCACTTGACTTCTTTAATCTACCTAACCTGTTTTACTAATGAACTAGAATATTCCTGGGAGTTAATGCCTTTTTGATCTACGTTGGGGGATGAAAGAGACTCTATTAGGGATTCAGGGTAATTTCGATTGGGGGATCAATACATTTTGTTTGGCTCCTCACTACCCTAAGTAGAAAAGCTTTATATTCCTGCTGAAATTTTAAAAAAAAATGTTCTTATTTTGTGCCTCTCTATAGCAACATATATATTTTTTAATCTGAAGAGCATATCACATCATATTGTGGGATGGTACGTAGATGGTCCCATAATAATCCTATCAAATCCCATCCGCCATAGTAGTGGATATATACCATATTTTCTTAGACACATCTGTAATCATATAGATTTTTTTGTAGATTTGTAATTTCTATGCTTTGTTTTATTATATTTTTTCGGTTTCTGGGTCTGGTAAATCAACAATCTCAGATGATCGACCGTAATTTAATCTAATTACTCGCTTTTCAGTATTCCGAAGCTTATTAAAATTCTATTTTTGAAATAGAAACGTCACACTTGTTTTTTTGTTTTTTTTACATTTATCCGTCCTTTTATAAAATTTAATTTTACATTCTGCTGTAATTAAATAACCTATTCAGGCACTAGCTTCAGTTCTAGCAATAATCGCGTTTCAAATGAATATACTCTTGAGTGTTGTCCCCGAAAATTCTCGCAAGTTTCACTCTAAAGTGGACATTTAGTATAGGACACTTATAAAGGATCAAAATGGATTCATGTCAGGAAAAATGGTGGTGAAAAATGACACGGGAGTTTTTAACAGAGATTTTTATAATACTTCACGGGCGGATCTACGGGGAGGGGCTTTCTGGCTGAAGCCTCCCCCCCCCCCCCAAAATGGAAAAATATAACCAGGTTTTATCGAACAAAATAATAAAAAAGTAACTCTTAAAGTATTATTGTTCGTGTGATTAATATTAAAAGGGCTTTAGGAATCACTTAAACACCATTTCATACAGGTAGTTAGTTTCTTTCTTTTTTTCCAAAGTAATTATCGTAATTTTTATGAAAAAAAAGCTTTCGGGCTGAAGCCCCCCCCAAAATCAAATCCTGGATCCGCTAGTGTAATACTTTACATAAATAAAATGGTAAACATTCTTCGTTCTTACATAAACATTAATTTTTGTTCTTTTAATGAAGTTATATTCAACGTTATTTTTAATAAACGATTCCCTTGAGGAGAAAACTGAGAGATTTACTATAAAACTAAATTTTATTTATTTTAAAGATAGACGGACGGACATAAACTGTAGACATTAATTATCATGGTACAATGCGATCATAAAACGTTACTTTTTCTCGGGCAATAAACATTTACTTGTTGCATTGTTTAAATCTATGCTTGATTAAATTATCTTTCATTTCTAATTGTTTCTCTACGATATATAAAATAATAAATGAATAAACTAGTGGAAGAATGAAAAAAAATAAACATTAATGACACAGCTTGTATAAAGCACTAAAATTAAAGATATTCCTTTTTTGGCTCAATTCTTTTGCAGTAAACTAGGTATTCTTAAAAAATGTGGACCGTTATTAAAAAAAAAACGGACAAATCTGCCTTGTACGATACCCCACGGTGACTTATTCATCTATTGCTGAAAAAGCGACATTGGCGGTGTAGCTTAAAATAGTTGGTACCCCTGTATTTAATATGATAAGATCTCTTGACTCCATAAAATATTTTGCCATAAGAAGTGAATGTATTTTTAAACCGTTGAGTGTAATGATTGGTAAACTTAAAATTTCAAAGCTTTTTAAAAAAATATTATTTTATCAGAACTTTTTAACAGGGTCTTTTGGTGTCTTCTACAAAACACGAGTCTATGTCGTTTAGTAATATTTTTCAATTGTTATATTGTTGTTACAATCAATTACTTAAATCTTAACCAAGATATTCGCTTGAAACGTTGATAAGGAGCGGCGTCTGTACCAATGCATCCCAATTTTATCAAGTTGCTCCAAATGTAATTTTTGACATCGTTTAAGTAATCAGATTCCTGGAGAGAATTCAGAGCTTTGACAAATTTCATTATTCTATTTTTTTTAATTTAATTTATTATACTCTGCATCTACCCGTACGGGTTATTAAAGTTTAGTAAAAGATGGATAGTTAACTTATAAACAGTAAGGACTACAATTTTACGATTATAGATACAATATAATTGAAAAGATAGATACCTACAATATTTTTTTACTGTAGAATTTCACAGCATAACATAAAATTGTAATTTTAAAGTTTTTGTAGTACCTAATAATAATATTAGTAGTATCAACAATAACTACATATTATTATTATATTTTGTATTTCTTCGGCATTGCCTGTGAATGTTTCAATGATAGCAGAAGGTATACTGTTAGTTAAGGTGTCAGAGTAGAAGTTTGCATATATTTACAATGAGTTTAGGATCAACAATGAGTTCATTCGGTTTTTTGTATGATTACATAATGTGTACCTGAGATTAACCAAAATTTTGCTTTAAGTTATGCCAAATATGAATAAATAATATATGTACATGTACATTTTTTTTTATATTCCTGAGGATTTCTCGAAACCGACATAATGCAATACGGCTGCTATCACTGAAATAACTTTCCCTGAAGAACATCCGAGGAACAACGTTCCTGCTATGTGGAAAATATAATAATGATTTAGTTTCATCTGTTGTGTTTTTAAATTTTATAATTTATCAAATTAACATTAAAACTATTGGTAAAAAATAGTTTGTTTTTTTTTTTAAAAAGGCCTCTTGTCGATTAATTGTTTCCTCTCTAAAAGTTTGATAAATTTTCTGCATGAACAGACCATTTTGACGAGTCAACTCGATTATTATTCAAAATGGATGAACCTCTTTTCAAAATGAGTAATTTTTTTTCTATATTTTACGTACAAATATTGATTTTCCGAACTATATTTAAAGAAAAAAATATTTCAAGAGGTCGATATTCTCTCCTCTACCACGCGCTTGTACACAATTTCCTTTCAATGTGTCACTTGCCTTGTCTAAAAATTCATTTTTTACGTTTATTATTATTATTTACTTCATTTTTTTGGGGAAAATCGAAAATCATTCAAACGCTCTTTAAATTTTAATGCTACCCCAAAACGTTCATTTAAACAAATAGTATTACTTATGGAGCTCCCATTTAAATATATTTAGATCTAAATTTTTTTTTATTCGATTTAATAGAGAATTGATAATTAACAAAGTTTAGATGATGCCTAGTGCCCTGTTTGAAAATCAGAGGGAACAACATTTATTTTTGTTTACGCTAGTTGCATGCTTTAGCACTGAGGCGCTGCCTTCAGCCTTTGCTGAGATCGTCAGTAGTACATCAAAAGATGTGTTGAGGGTTGTGTTAGCGCCAAATGTTATTTTAAAATACGTATGTTGTTTTGTTAAATAAACTTTTATAGAATCGTTATTTCGTCTTATTATTCGAAATGCCTCCAACAACTGATGGGTTTTGGGGCAAACCTACTTCCACAATCGATTGGTGTGAAGAAAATTATGTATATAGTTATTATATTGCAGAGATGAGTAAGTATTTAATTAATCAACAGTTTGTTCCGATAATACTTGATTGACATATAAATTAGGTAGTAATTTATAAATTAAATTTTACTATAAATTTAGAAATAATTTGTCCTCTTACATTTGAATACCTCATTTACAGGTCTCACTATTTTAGTGTTAATCAATTTTATTAATATATATTTTAATGTTTTTTAGCCAATACTATAAGCAACCTTATGATGATCATACCCCCTTTGTGGGGAATGTTCGAAGTGATCAAACAAGGTTTCGAAAGAAGATTTGTATATTGCCATTTCCTGGTGCTGAGTAAGTACTGTTGTATTTCTAAAAATAACTGTTACTATTTGCCCTTTTTTAACTTCTCATTTAATATTCTGCATTAGAACAACGGCTTTCTTATCCAAATATCCAATCCTATCCAAATATTAATTTATTTTAATATAATTGAATTATGGTCCATAATAATTGAAGTTTACTATAAAAATATTACATTATTTATTAGGGGATATTTTTTTTTTTCTTATGACTGAGAATTCGACAATAATAAATATGTAACTACTAAGTTTTGATATAAAAACATGAATACTTAATTGTTCATTTAAATGTGATGTTATGGTTCTTATAAATTATTATTAGTTGATTAATTTTGTTAGTTTTATTGATATTTTCTGTACTTAAATTATTTTTGATTTTTCTCATATAAATATAAAAATTGATGATTTTCATATTAGCACAAATTTTTCTTGGAAAAGATATGAGAAAATAATAATGACGGGTTTTATAATGTATTATATATCTTAATGAAGCATCAAGGATTTATTAACTAATTTGCTGCCATTTACACTCTCTAGTTATAGAGAGGAATCTACATCTGATTCCTCTGGTTAATGGTCAGTGAAATGTGATTGAAATTAAATGAAGATTATATGAAATCATCCATTAGCACCCATTTTTTAAAATCATTTTATTCAGTCATTTTTTTTCAGATTTCTTCTATTTATATTTATAAATATTTAAGTATTTAATTTGACAAATAGTTTTTAGCAGTACAATAAAACTAAAACTCTCATATTTAATATTTATTCTAAAATATAGTTAATTATTGGATGAATATCATCCAAATAATATTCTTCCTGAAATTCATCCAATTAAAAATTATTATTTTTCATTGTTTCTGTCTAGTGACAATAGCATTTCCAATCCCATTTAATATTTTTATGTGCATTTGCTACAGTATTAGTGCGATCAGGGTTGGAACTTTATTTAAAGGGTTGGATGTTTTATTTTTAAAAAACTAAAACAGATGTTAAGGTCAAGTTAATAATGAAATAAATATCTTAATTCAATCCATAAAATGAGTTAATGTTATGAAATTAGGTAATTTAGGTCAAAACATCTTACTCAAAATATTGTTATAAAACTACCAAATTTTATTGGAGAGAGGTGGGTGAAAGAAGGGCCATCAAAATTAAGCTTGCCCCTCTCACAAAAATCTTAGGTTCTGCCCTGATATAATTTTGTTTTAAAATAACTTATATATATTTTATAATTTAAAATGAAAGTCTTTAATAAAGCAATTGATTATACATTTAGCATAAGGCAAATATTATATAATTAATAATAATAAAACATCGACAAAGATTTAATTCAATGTTAAATATTTAATTATGATTTTCACAAACAAGAGATCATACCTCTTTTTTAAATAGCTATCCGACTACTAATCTTGATATAAATATATATATATATATATATATATATATATATATATATATATATATATATATATATATATATATATAACAAAGAATTTTATTATTATTTGTGGGTTGATGGTTGACTGTAGGGAATAATTGAAGAGAAGGATGGTTGGGGTGATCAGTCAAAATAAAAATAGCAAAAAGAAATAATAATATTTATTTTGACTTTTATTATTTATTTTTGCTATTTTTATTTTGACTGATCACCCCAACCATCCTTTTCTTCAATTTTATTATTAATTTATATCCAATATTCATTTTTTATTGTTGTGACCACTAAAAGACACATTTGTGTTAATTTTGACCACATTATTATTATTTTTTTCACAGACACCATAGGCTTCTTTGGTTCTAAATTTGAGACGTATAGAAATCTGAAAATAAATTGTTTTGAAATATTGTACCAAGTTAAGATAATGCTATTAAGACTTGCATAAATAAATTGATTTATGAATAATATTAAAACTTTTTAAAATTCTTATTAAATTAGTTAATTAAGCAAGTATTCATAATTGTGAATTGATGGTTGACTGTAGTGAATAATCGAAGAGAAGAATTGTTGGCGTGATCAGTAAAATTAATAAATATGCTAATATTCATCTTTACAATATTTAATAATATAAATTAATCACAATATGTCGTCCTAAAGATGCAGATGAGATTGAAACAAAAATTACCGGTTATTGGCTTTGCTGAGAGAGTTCCAGAAATTATTTGAAAGAATCATTACTATTATCAGTTATAAAATAATAATTGTAATATTAATGATATTTGAATAGAATATTTGATTTAATATTATAAAATTGATATTTCATTTTAATATGAAATAATTAGTTCGATATTTCATTATCTTTACCTATGGATGAAATAATTTTTTTTATCAATACAATAATGTAAAATAGTTTCATATATGACAAACAATATGTGTCCTTATAACAATATAATTCCTTCTCAATTAACTAAATAATTTGAATGGTATGATTCAGTTATTAAGTACATGTAATTACTCATTCCCATCTGAAATTACTGAAAAACAAAATATTTTCCTTCAGTAGTTTCAAGTAATAATATTAAAGATAATGAGATTGTATTTTATCTAGAATAGATTAGATAATAAAACTAATCAATAACATTACTTTCTGCTTAAAAAGAGCTGCATTGTAATTAAATACGTTGTTTGATAACTCAATAAATATGTACTTTTGTTTTCAAACATAATTATGAAATAACGTGATGAGAACAATAACCTTTGTTATACTTGATCAACACTATACAAAATATTTATTTATTTACCAAAATTAAAAGGAATATTTATTCATTAGCTCATGGAAAACCTTAAATAATACTTGACTGTAAACAAAGTCTGTAAAAAAACTTAAAGAAAAAACAGAAACAGAATCTAATTTTCTTCTACTTAGCAGAAACTGCAAACACTGTAATCAATAATGAATCATCTCAAAATCCATTATTTTCAATTTGAAATAATGTGAAAAATTTGAATTCTATTGAGTAAAATCTTATTTGCTTTTAATTTTGAAGATATTTAATTATAATAATTTAGAGTTTTAAATTTTAATTATTAAAAATTACTGTGTTATGTTACAATGTTACGCAGTGGAGATGTTTAGTGAACATTTCAAATTTGGTTTATCCACACTTCACAGCAGGATTATCTATTTTGAATTTCTTCTTCATAATGGATATAAAATGATTTTATAAAAATGTAACGTTACAGACTATATAGAGAAGTAAATAAATAAAAGAGAAATTGAAAATGCAGTTAGAAAACTAGGAAAATTCAATTGTTGAGTGAATTGCTAATAATATTGATACTGAGGATGAGGAAACAGATTAAATTAATTGGATATGTTCACAAATGGTTAATTTTTCTTCTTATTGTCAATTTTTATATTTTTAACTTCTTTGGCATTACAAGTTTAAATTTTGATTTTTTAAAGAACTAATTAAGATCATTAAAGTTTTATTTTTATTTATTTGTGACAAATACATGATTTCCAATAAAAAGTTATATTTATTGACACTCTATACTTTTTATTCATCCATAGAATTGTTTGTATTCTGCTTTTTAATGTAATAAATCATTTAGCCCTTATCTGACAAATAATCTTTTACCAATATGGTCTCATTTTTTGATGATTTAAGAGATCTCTAGGCAAACCTAAAAAAGGCTTTATACTTCTCTTATACCAGGCAACTGTTTTAATTGAAATAATAGAAGGTTACTTGTGAAGTAATAATATATCAGACTCTATTGTGTCAAGTTTTATTATTCACTACAGGACCTTAACAATCTAGCTAGGACATTCTTTATTTTGGTAAAGAACTATTATATTTTCTAATTGAGGATGATAGAAAACTAAACTTCTATTATTCTATTTATTTATTTGTAATAATTTACAAATTGATTGTTTTTACTTTTGAAGGCTCCTTTCCCATCTTTGGAAAAAGAAAAAAAAAAAAAAGGGATTTCATCTTAAATTAATTGAAGACATTATAAAATCTTCAGAAATAGTTTCTTACATCTGTTGTTTATCAAATCTATCTTCAATTGCAAATAAGGAAGACTATTAACAAAAGTACAAAGTTTGAAAAAATAAATATTATTTTTCTTGTACTAACACTTCTTTCTCTCTCATATGTATATGTGGTATATACAGGCCCAGCTGACTGGTATATGTTCTGTTTGCCCTTTGGATTGTTGGATTTGAATTGAAAAATAGTACATTTTTGGGTTTGAGAAATATTCTCAAATAAGGCTTTCTTTCTATCTTGCAGCAGAACACTAGCGGATCCAGAATTTAATTTTCGGAGGAAAGGAGGTCACTTCAGCCTGAAAGCAATTTTTTTTCATATGTATAACAATAATTACTTTGGAAAAAAGAAAGATAATAACTACCTGTATGAAATAGTATTTAAGTGATTCTTTAATTCCTATTAAATGTAATTACACAAACAATAATACTTTAAGAGATTATTTTTTACCATAATACACATTTACATTTTACCATTTTGGGAGGGGAGAGGGAGAGGATGCTTCAGCCATAAAGCCCCTTCATCTCCTCGTAGATCTGCCTGTGCAGCAGAAGTAGTTTTTAAGAGGGGAACTATCAGTATTCAGGAGAAATATTAACTGATTAATGGGAGAAGCTGTTATAAATCTTAAGAAATTACAATCCAACTACTTCATATCCTGAGCTGATTAAAATAAATTGTGATAGGCATAGACCAGGTGATCTATTTCACACATAGTGAGGCAGTTTTCCAATTCCCTTTCCACTTACTGAATGATAAAAGTTATTCTTAGTTATTCACGAACACTGGTTAGAACACTAGTATTTTCTAAAATATACATACAGTTGTGTATTTCTAGTATGCATACTAGTTTGTTCATAATTATTTTTGAGACATAAACTTTTCTGAGATTATAATTCATTTTCCTTTTGATGAAGGTTAAGATTTTACATTCATTTGTAAAATAAGACAGATTTTGTATGAAGCATTTATATTTATATTAGGAGTTTATATAACTCCTCAGTCTCAGACATGTCTTATCTCTAAAATAAATCTCGTTGAAATGTATATATTGACTGTATCGCGTAAAATGGTCCAATCTGTTTTTCTTTAAACCCTTATGAGAAGATAAAAATGACCAACCTGCTAAGGATTATCTGCTAACTAAACTGTGAGCATGATACTTTATATCAGAATAAATTCAAATACAAGTTGATTGAAAATACCTAAGTATACTTTATTGATCTTAACGAACATATAAATATAAAATGTATTTGAAGAAGGAGAAAACATATTACTAATTAATTATCAACTCAAGAAGAGGACTTTATAAAGAAAAAGCCATAATAACTAAGCCAAGAATACCCTCCATTTTCCATAGATGGTTTAATGACTTTCATAGTCACCAGTATTTAACTTTAAATATTATAGAATCTAGATTGTTATTTTCATTAAATGTTATAATGTGTTTTTCTTACTTCCTTTTCAATTTTTTTACTGATATTAATTTTTATTTATTTTCTAATTCTTTTTGTTTTCATGATTTTCCTTTATAGTATTTCTTTAATTTTCACTGTTATATTATAATGAAACTTACTGTCACCAAATTCCCATGCACGTTTTATTAATTTAGCATTGGCAAAATTTAGGGATAATATGGCAATGAAAAACAAAATGTACTTATATTGCCTGTAAATTAATTGCCAATAATAATTTCAGTTGTTGGACTTGGTTCTTGGGCCTTCCATATGACTTTATTGTATGAAATGCAACTTTTTGATGAACTTCCAATGGTTTGGGGAACTTGTGTTCTTGTTTACTGTTTGTAAGTGGGAAATAACATTTTAGTTTTTGACTTTTAATTTTTAGTTACTTTTTCATACTTTTATTTTCCATTTTTTTTTTCAGATCAGAAGTTCAAAAAACACCAGCCAAAGGGCAGTTCTCAAATCTTCCATTGTTTATTTTTTTATCCTCCTTTGCAATACTTTTCACTGCCTTATATCTCCTTTGGCCACAACCAGTTTTTCAGCATGTATCTTATGGTGTTTTGGTTCTGACATCTTATGCCCTAGAAATACGTTTATTAAAAATTAAAGGATGCCAAATTTGTAAGAAGTTGTTTATTTTATCTACAACAATATATCTTTTTGGATTCCTGTTGTGGAATATTGATAATCTCTTCTGCAGTAATTTAAGGTATTAATTATTTAATTATAGTATACCTTTTTTGTGGATTATTTAACATGAATGCAACTTGATACATGCAATGATACAAATTATACCCACGGGAATACCAAAATTGATTACTTGCATCGTATAAAGATATGATATGATGTGATATTTGTATTTCTATCTATATGCATGTATGGTGGTTTGAAAATCTTTAGGTATTTGAATCTGATTCCAATATCATACTTTAAAATTTAAAAGTTGTAGATTCAATATGGACACAGAAAATTTCATGATTGATTTTTCATTTAATCACTTCTCAATGTGAGTTTATGTCCCGGTGCTGGGGGAGTCTTTTAAATCCCCGCCCACACTCCCCGGCCCAGGAAAACCCTGTATAGCCTTAAAGGCGAGGAAGGGGAGGATCCAAAAAAAACAAACTTGTACAAGGTGGTCTCTGTCAACGTTACCAGAAAATGTTTATCTTTATCAAATTTAGTTTAAAAGATATAAGCGCAAAACTTGACAAACTAAGTAACAGTTGAGATTTTTGGTCTACACAGTGTATGCATATTTAGGATGAAGGCTTTGATTGTTTACTATAATAACCATCTATAAAGCATTAAAAAAAATATCCGACTATTTTGTAAGATTTTTCCTATTTATAATTTAACTGTCAATTTTATTATAAGAGTCAATCTAAAACTTTGTAACTTATTCAAAGAATACTTTCAGTCATAAATCCCTATAATAGCCATACTGAACATTAAATTTGCACTAGTCTGCCTTTTGAAATGGTGTCCCATTCCAATGGAAGATCCTTAAGTGTGGACATAATGATAGTTTATTTTAAGCCAACATGAAATTGTACACCCTCCAGATGCCAAAATAAAATGACTGCCGGATTCGAGTGATGGCATCGTTGGAAGACGAAATTCACAGTCCATATTTATTCCTCCAACATTGTATTTTATCAAATATCAAGGAAACAGCTATTGCTACAAAAATAAACTAGTTTGTAGTGGATTTCGTCCGCTTCAATTTGAGCTCTGATTTATGTTCAATAGTTGAACATGAAAACATGAGATATCACCATCTTAAGATTTCATTTTTGAAAATATGATGGAAACTGCTACTTCTATGAGTAGTTAATAATAGTTATCTTCTTTTATTTGGTGAATCACACTGTAAGAATAAAATACTGTATGGATTTTTTATATATTTTTTTAAAGGTGTTAAACAAATTTTATCTTCCTCCTGGGATAAATTCTTTTATTAATGATGTTTAATTCTTACATATTCAAAATGTTGGGGCTCTGCCTCATCTTCAGGCTAACCTGAGTCAGTGTAACATTGCAAGATCAGAATGTTCCTAAATAGAATTGAAGTAATAAAGTTATATGAAAAATGATAAGAAAAAAGAAATATGGATGAAATGCAGAACAATATTTAAGAAAATTATTAAATAGAATATTTCTGAAGATGTGGCAGACCCCCAATATCTTGATTAGGTAAGAGATAGACGTGATTAATAAAAGAATTTTGCCCAGGAGGAAGATAAAAATTTTTATCACGTACCTTCAAGAAAATAATCCTCTTCATTTTAACAATTCCCCTGATATTTACTAAAGTAAAATCCAAAATGTTGATTTCTCGTGTTTTGAAAAAAAAATATTTTTTTTTGTAAAATACTTTTTCTCTGGAATTATTGAGTATAAATGGCCCTATTTGGGCTCTAATTGATGATATTAGAATACAATAAAAAATATGTTATGATAATTATCTTTGTTGGAATAGCTATTTCTGTGGATTTTCAATGTTGTCTTCTGGTACGATGCTCTCCCCTAAATTTGGGACACGAATTTGTATACATCGGGAGGATGTACAGTTTCATGCTGGATTAAAACAAACCATTCTGTTTTAGTAATTGGGCTCATCTTTTCAATGGAGGCCATTTGAAAAACTCTTGCTTTGATTTGACAGAGTAATGCAAATTGAATGTTCACTAAGGCTATTATAGTGTGTACTAAATATTTTCTTCAGATAAGTCATAATATTTCAAATATTTTCTTGAAGTAGCACAAATCAAGATTGAGTTATTACCATATTTTTTGTGAGAAAAAAGTTTCTAAAAAAAAAATGAATTGTAATTTTAATGAGGTATTTTTTTTCCTGGGGCTTGTTACTTTATAAATTTTTGATCCTGCTGTATATATCATTGTGTGTGTTTGAGGTTTATATATGCCTACTTTTATTACTGATATGCATAAGTAAATATAAATCATTATTTATTATATTTTTTTTTTATAATTACAGATCATTGAGAATGAAAATTCCGTCAGCATTTGATCCTTTAACACAACTACATGGTTGGTGGCATTGTTTGGCTGGATATGGAACATATCTACAAGTTCTTTTTACGTAAGAAAAAGATTTATTGTATTTAAAATGTTATTTTATCTTTATAATTACATAGTTACAATTCAAATTCACTTGTGATGACAGAGACAATTACTGTTGCTCTGAATGTAGAGTAGCATATCAAGACTTGTGTTATAGCATTTAATGATGAGGAAATTGAATAAATAAAATATTCTAAATTGTCTGGATTTTTCCAAGATCAGAAAAGACCACATCTGAACAGTATGAAGTCTTTGAACCATCAATTCCTAAAAGTAATGGTATATGGTTAGGTCGGGGAATAGGTATTTAAATGAAGACGTAAAGCATTAAGAATCAGCGTACAAAGAGATGAGCATTTAACTTAATAAAAAATGATTTGATCCAAAAAAGAAAAATCAAGAAGAATTTTTAACTAGAGTGGTAGGAGAAAAGCTGTCACAGGATTTATCATAGTGTCCAAGACGGAATTTCTGTGAAAAATTGAATTATGTTTTGTGTGATGTTTACCGAAAAAATAAACAACTAACAACTAAATAATGTTAGATTAAACCTGAAGAAAAGAATTAAAGTTAAAGTGAAAACAAAAAATGAAATAAATGTTAAACACATTCATAGAGTATCTTTAATATTTACAGTCAGCCTTGGAAGTTCCGAGTTTGGCTTTGTCCTCCACATTTAAGTGGCAATGCTAGATTCTAGGAATTTTGAGTGCTTCTCTCCCAGATACATTACTTGTATTTGGAAGCCACGGAAGCTCAAAACTAGTGGAGAAGCAGGCCATTGCCAGGAATCCAAGAACATATCTATAAATGCTTTCATGGCCACTATCGTTTCAATGTTCAAGGAGGATTATAGGAATTGTTAGAGCTAGACAGAGGTTGAACTGAAGGATTTGTATAATGAATAAATTTTTGTTATAATTTGGGAATATGGATGGCTTAAGGTCAAAAAATTATGGTTTGTTGAGGTCATGATGTAAAGTTCATAATCTAACAACTATTGTTCGGAGTGTTTTAGAATGAAAAGATCATTCTACATATAAGGATCCGTCTGATAAACTTTGCCATCTCAAAAAACCTGATAATTAAAAGTACTATGTTTAAACATAAGGATATTCATAAATATACTTGGACATCACCGGATTTAGAGAAAAAATTAGAATACAACGGTATTGTTCACCAGCTGTATATCGATTTCAAAAAGGCACCAAAAAAACTAGTAAATCTAGTCAGGAGGTGCTTTTTTTATTATTATTATTATTATTTTTTTTTTTTTTTTTTTTTTGGGTCCTCCCCTTCCTCAGCTTTAAGGCTATACGGGGTTCACCCGGGCCAGGGAGTGTGGGCGGGGATTTAAAAGACTCCCCGGCACCGAGATTGTGAACTTGGAACTATTTTTCATCATTGTCTCATATGTCAGGTTGCCGGGGCAACGGTGGTACTGTGCACACTCAGCCCATTTGGCCAACCCGCCCATGTATCAGGAGGTGCTTGACGGAAACACTCAATTAAGTTAGATTCGTTAATAATCTGTCCGAAAAGTTTGAGGTTCTTTCGGGTTTAAAACATGGGGATTCCTTATCGCCTATCCTGTTCAATTTGGCATTAGAACATGCCATTAGGGAAGTAATGCGTACTGAAAAAGGCTTGGATCTGGGTGGGACAACACCTGTGCTGTGCTATGCAGATGATCTGGTACTGTTAAGCAAATACTATAAAACTAAATACACAATGTTAATGAATGTTAGTAAAGAACTAGGACTCGAAATAAACAAGGATAAGACAAAATATATGGTTAGCTGCAAAAATGGTGATATTAGTGATGATGTTGATATAGATGGTAATATATTTACACAGGTAGAGAAGTTTAGGTATCTAGGGTCTACGATAACCAGAAAAAACGAAATAGAAGAAGATATTAAGATTAGACTCAAGGGGAGAAATGCTTGTTATTTTTCTGTGACAAAACTACTTGTACCGGAACTTAAAAATTAGAATCTATAAAACCATTGTCTTACATACAGTTCTTTAAGGTTTTTGAAAATAAAGTATTGCGTAGAATATTCGGACCAAAGAAGGATGAATTAACCAGAAAGTTCAGATGGTTACACAACGCCGAATTGCATGAACTATATCCGGGTAATACAATTGAGATGATTTCGTCCTGACAAATCAAATTGGCTTGTAAAATTGTTGGACTTAGTAACGAGGGAATTCTTAAAAGGTTAATATTTGCTGACTTGAATGGTAAATGTACGAGGGGTAGACCGAAGCGAATGTGGGAAGATTGCGTTAAAGCCGATCTGAAGGGACTAGGTTTGGATGGTGAGCGGTGGAGGGAGGTGTGTAATAAGGGATTGGTGGTGTTTGCATCGAACCTTCAGGTTCACTAAGCCTTTTATTATTTTTTTTTTTTATTTATTATTTATTATTTATTATTTATTATTATTATTATTATTACTCATAGTTAAATATATTCAAACAATTGTGTTACTGTAAAATTGTTTTAAATGGGCTGTAAACAAAAAAAGGGTGTACATCAATGCTGTAAAAAATTGTGAATGGACATTCTAATGTATTCTCCTTCATAGGAACTGGGTTCTAGCAAAAACTAATGATATCCTAAATTAATTAATTAAAATGGTTGGTGATTGAGGAACATTTTATATTATTTGAAACAAAGTAATCCTACTTAATTCCAGCTATACTGCTCCTTGGTTTTATTTGTTATTGGAAATTAACATATTTTATTTTTATGAATACCATTATCTATTTTACATATTTCTGCTTTCTAAATTAATCATTATTTTAACCTTTAAAAATACAATTTTTTTTTTCCAGGATTCATGCATCTTACGATTTCAGGCATGAAAAGCGACAAAAGAATCTTGAATTGCTTCCATGCCATTATGGTTTTGGTTTGCGTTGGTTTCAGAAAGCAAATCACTTTTGATACAAAATTTCCTTGCCTTATTGGGGTTAGGTCTGTATTACTTATATGTGGTTTAAATTTTTGCTCTTGTACTTTGGCAAGGCTTCCATGTGTTAATATTTGATGCTCTTCTATTACCATCTTACACCTGGGTCTGCCGTAAATGCAATGTGATTAGTCACGGTTTAGATTAGAGTGCCTTTGTTAGTGTACCTCATTAACCAAAGATAATCATATTTTTTTGGTGATAGATTGATTACCTGTTATGGCTGTTTACCTTAATTAACTCTTAATTTAAATCATAGATAATATATTATATATCTACCTGATTAAAAGAAGTTGGGGCTTAATAGTTTTCAAAATATTAATTTATTTTAATAAATTGTTTTAATTTTAATATAGACTATGAATATTATATAGCCTAGAATTCAATTGGCTGTCAAAATAATTGTTATGTTGTTCAAAATTATTTAAGTACTTTGATTATGTAAGTAAAAAGTTATTTAATATTTCTTAAGATTAGTTTATATACAAAAAACATACAATTTAATTAATGAGTATTTTTATTTTATATTAAAACTTTATTTATATAATGCTGATAATAGCATTTCAAAAAATCTATAAAATGTTCAGATTATGGTTTCCTATATTTTATCATTATTATTAACTGATTATCATTTTTAAAATGATACAATTTGTTAAAAACCTTGATGAAAGATTTGTGATATTTTTTATTTCTTGAAATTATATATTTTTTCTAAGAAATAAGCATGGATTTTTAAAATCCTTTCGTTATTTTGTATTTGAAAATGTTATTTAGTTTTGGGAACTATAATCTCTTTTTTTTTTATGATTAATCAAACATAAAACTTCAAATATAGGTATGTATTCAAATTAAGCGAGTTTAAAGAATTTAAATTATTTTCCAGCAGTAAGATGTTTGATCTATTTAAATAATAGATTATTTTGTCAATTAAGTAAAATAGTTTAAAAAATTAACATATTTTCTAACATTTGTGAAAAATGGGAACTCTCTATTACTTTTTGTTATTAAAAATATTCACAATATTAATAAATAATACAATATATACATTTGTCAAATTTCGGAAATTTATAATTCACAGATGAAGTTTTCAAGGTAGGTCCATCATAAAATAATTAGAATAATTGAAATTAACTAGGTACATTCCCATATATGACTTTTATATTTTAAATTATTTTGGTTTATATCTTCATTTTCATTAATAATTCATAAGTTTAAAGACAACCATCAATAATTAGAATCTATTAATTAGTTTAGTTAATATATAGGTCACTGAAAATAAGTGAATTTTTAGTTACTAAATAAAATTCATACTTGAATATGTTTATAGTTAAAAATATTGTTTTTGTTTATGTAAGTTTTTCTTAAATTTTCTGCTGGCCAGATAGGTAAATAAAATTAGGCAACTTAAGTGGCAACTCATGCAACCTTTGGGGTGTTGGGTGTAGGGAAGTTCACAAGATCTGTATCATACAATAATAAAAATTTAAATAATTTAGGCTATCAGGCTGTAAAATTAACTATAAAATATATAACTCATGCTATAAAATATTACTATAGAACATTTTCAAAAGAAAAAAAAATGAACTAGATATCATTCTAAATAGGAATAGTTGTTGAGGTTATGTGAAAACAGAGATAATAGTGCTGACTGGCTATCAGAGGTCCTTCCATTTGCAATTGTGATTCATACAGACATTATTTATCACCTCTCTAGTTTTCCCACTTACCATTTCCTCTCTCCCTCACTTGTACAGCTCTATGTCATAATGTTGTGCAATACCTGCTACTATACATCTCAAAAATGAATAGAGATATTTATATTACGTTTAATTAACATATCAGTTTATTAGGAACTCTCGTATTTTTTGGTGAACATAAAAAGTATTCAACAACTATTCTTTAATTTTAATAAATTATTATCTAAGAATAATCAACATGAAGGATACTCATTGTGTAAACTGACAGCAATTTTGACTTTTATCTATTTTAATCCAGTAATATTCTGTTTAACAATGGGAAGACATCATTTTGAACCAGATTTTTGCAATATTATGTACGGTCAAGGGTATGACAAGTGGGTATCTCTGATGCAGTTGGTATCTCTTGGATTGTGGTCTCCTGGGCTTCAGCCTGATTCAGAGTAACCAAAAGTACCAATAGGAGACCTTTTGTGGATCTCGGTGCTTTATGACATCAAGGGATGAGAGAAATTTTATTATTGCTGTAAGAAGAAATCCTTTTCCAGAGCCTAAATGAATTGTTGAATGTTCTGCCATCGCCCATCTCAACTCAAACCATTTGTAATTGTTTATGGGAAATTGGTCTAACATCATATTCCATTTTAAGATGACCTGCAGCAACAGACCATCCCTGGCAACTCCGTAGATTATAGTGCAGTGAGCGCCAAGATGTGGATACAAAGTGGAATGCTGTTATGTTTGCAGATGAATAACATTTCTGTATTAGTGATTGTAGGTGGCGAAGAGTCTTCTGAAAACAGGCTATTGGTACACTGCCACAGTTTGTGCTTCCTTTAATTTAATCTAGAGGTGGAAGTATGATGGTTTTGCACAGCACCGACTCAGGTGGACATACTCTACTCCATATTCTGGAAGGTAATCTCATTGCAGTTCAATATGTTGAAAAAATTATAGAGGAGTACATTCCTTAAACCAGGATTATAATTGACACAGATTTCCATTTTCTTGACGATAATACACAACCTCTAAGGAAAAAGTTGTTCATCAATGTCTTGAAAATCGTGGTCATTTCACATCTATCCCTTCCTGTATTGTCTTCAGATCTCAATCCCATTGGGCATATGGGATGCATTTCAGGGAAGTCTTTTTGACCACCATCTGCAGCTTCTTAAGCTTCAGCAACTGAGAGCATTTATACATGTTCCCACAAGAGTTGCCTCAACTAGTCAGCACTGAGTTCCATCAAGTGCTTAGATCCAACCAATCATCTTGCTGCAAACCTCGGCAAACCATTACCTCTTGGACTCCTTTTATTCACTTGTTTCTGGACCGTCCGTGTCCTCTCATCGCTGACGGCACCTAATCCTGAACTTAGTTTGGCCAACATTCATCTGACATTCTTTTCATATGCCTGTACTATCTTTCATTTACTAATTTATTCACATCAATCTTCTGGAAAATTACTTCATTCCTAATTCTATTTAGCCTGGCGATACCTCCTCCAGAAATTCATCCCAACTACAAACAGGAGTTCATTGTCCAGATGTCTGAAGCGTATGTCAGGATAGACTTCACTATGATTGTGAAGATTCGATGCTTGTTCTTAACAGGTTGCCTTACGAGGCTGGCCTGACGTCATGGTCACACGACTCTGTAGCGTCCAACTAAGAACCTTGGTACCTAAATATATTCACCTTTTTACCAACCTCCCTCTCCCCCAGAGCACACCAGTATCAAGTTTGCCAATAGCCATTTACTCGATCACTAAGTAAATTTTTAAACCCATTTCGTAGCAATCTTCTAAAGTAAATAATCTCATTTTGAGATAGACCTTCCACCTCACAAGATACCACCTTGTTACCTTTTGCAAGGAACAAAGACAGAAACTGTTCCTCATCAATAAATGGCCCAACATCCCCACATTGTTCGTGCCAAGGCTTCTCTGATTCATGCAAGTATATCTTGAAGTGAGTAGGTATCCTACATCCTACATCCTTTCTTCAATCCCTTAGTACCATGAAAAGTGTCAGAAAGATGGTTCCTACCTCTTATCTGGTTCTGAGGAATATTAACTTATATTGAGGTTAAGTTGGAATAGCGCCTGAAAGTTTAATTTATACAAATTAGTGAGAACTAATTTTAGCAGAAAATTAACCTTTTAGTAGTTCCCGGTCTATTCATTGTATTAAAAACTCTGTATTTATCATCACTGAAATTATACATATTCCTTTCTTACATTAAATAATTCTATTTTTATTGTCAAATTCTCATTTCCAGCTAAAATTTCTATTCACTGTTGATTTTCACACAAAATATTCTATGTGAATTATCTTTGAAAATGGGGATATTGTAACCACAAGAAACATCATTTAAAAATAAAAACATTATAACTGAAGTGATACTTGTATGTTTATTTTCTTTATTTTTAAAAGTCAAAAGTATCTTTTGGATGTATTACCAATCATTTTATTTTGCAAGATAAAGATTACTTTATTTGCAATGATCTATATCTTGTGAGTCATGGTTATTTGATTTCTTTTTAACAAATTAAATTATGTGAATATATCTGTAAATAGGATTGATTCGATAAAATATTTATCCTTCGATATGGCATTAAAAATATAACTGACTATCTATATGCTTCTTTAGTTCTAAATGAGACAGATGTCCTTTTGTATGCCTTCATTATAAAAATAGTATTAGGCAATAATAATTATTAAGTTATTATAATAATAATAATTATTAAGTTGTCAATCTTAATTGATACGATTAATGTATTAAGATTGAGAACTTAATGATTTCGATTGTTCAATGCATGTTTTATATGCATTATATTCTAAGTATTTTGACTAAAATGATCTTCCTTTGGAATGAATATAATCTATCTTATTGGGCAAAAATATATAAAATGATTGATTTCTCTTCTTATCAGTCTTGGTCCCATGCAATCGCTTGCACTAACTAATTGATTAAATATTGTTTGTAAGAAATACTGTTATCAATCAGTATTTCTACTACCTTTAACTTTAATTTCAATTATTTTTGGTATATATATTTTGTATATGTTCTTATATATACAGTAGAATCACTATATATATATCTAACTTTCAGGAAATTATGTACTTGCAAAAAAAATCTATTCAGAGAAACACTTCATTTTTTTATGAATTTATTTATGTATTAAATATAAAAATTATGATTAAATTTTTAGGTAAAAAGAACTTTTTTAGTGTTAAACAAATAAAATTAACTAGTTGATCTAAAAATTTGTATTTAAAAAGTGGTGCAAATTATTTATTTAATAATCAATTAGTAATAGAAAAATGTATAAAACCTTTTTGATTTATTTCTTTTTTATTTAGATAAAACACAGATTTTGGAGAGTTTTTTTTAGTAAAAATTCCACTTTCTAAAAAAGATTTTTATTTATTGAAGTTGGATATATAGAAGTTCGAGAGGATCTATATATGTATGTGTGTGTGTAAATTTGTAATGTGCTTTTGTTAATGAACTCTAATCTAGTCTTCTTCTGATGGCTTTTTTGTGCCATTTTGTTTCCAGTTAATTCCATCCTAGATTAATGTGAAACAAAGACATTTTTTTTTTTTTATATGTATAACAAAGATATTTTTCTGTTACAATGTATTGAATGATTTTTAATGTTATGGCATAATCTATTTTT